ATGCTTTGACTTATGGAAGTTACCTAGTCTTTCATTCTACAGAGAACCTTGCGAAGACCACCAGCTTTCCCTGGCTCCTAGTTTGGGGTTGCCACTGTGCCAGGCATTTGTAGAGTTTGAAAATGGAAATTGTGACAAAGCTGTAGACCTGCTGTACCCAATCCGTTATCAGCTAATCCAACTAGGAGGCAGTAATGCCCAGGTAAGGGAGACAAGAAAAGACTGTTTCGTATGATTTAATCCCCTTTCAGTAGCCTCCGTTAGGCACTTACCCAATCAACAACGTTTCATACTTAAAAAGTGAAAGCTAAACTGTACTTGTGACTGAATCCTGTTTGCAAACACTTACTAGTAGGGTTAGCTATTTAATTTAATGTTGATATGTGGATTTAATAAATTGGTAAACAAAACATTGCAACCGGCAATACATTATAAATTATTTATTTTGTATTTTGCTGACTCTTTTTCTCAGAGAGACGTTTTCAGCCAGTTATTGATTCATGCTGCTTTAAATTCTAAATCGCAGGCCAAACGAAACCTTGCAAGGTGAGTGTTTTCCCTGAAAAATATTTATGGAAGTAGTAGTGTTTCTAAAAGCAAAAAGTAATGAGTATACTCAAACCAATAAATTTAAAGCTGAAATTCTATGCAACCATTTATGTGAAATGTAGAAGCATTTAACCAGGATAAAAAGTACAATAGCTTCCAATTCCAAAAGTACACTCTTGCAGCCTGGATTAATAATCTTTATTTGTTCAAGGCTAGTTGATTTTTAAATGGTTCTGTCTTAGCCTGTTCGTGAGTGTACATTATGGACTGCTAAACTTGTGTGAACTGGTGGAACTCCAGTCTGTCCTGCTGCAGACATCTGCTGCACTGGGACAGATGAGGTGTGCTCTGACATGTGCAGGTGTGCTCTGGCTCAGTGCAGATCACAGGAGCCTGGTGTGGTAGAACAGTCGATGTGGTTTATCACCCACACTGAGTTCTGCTGAAATGCAGTGCATGGGTCTGCCTGGGCCCTGAGGGGAATGGATCCTTGGGACAGTAGGAAGCCTGGCCTGTTGCCCTCCTGAGGTCTCTCTGAAACATTAAAATTAAGTGCTATTAAAACAATAGCAAAATGATGCTTCTTTGCCTTCTGAGCTCTAGGTGCTTGTTTTCAGTCTGTCAGTGCTGAAAACAATGCTGTTCTGCCTAAAAGGGATTCCTGGCCAGGTCCAGTGTTTCCTGTAAGAAAAATCTGTACCTCCAGTACAGGTCTTTGTGTACTGATTACCTCTTACAAGGACACTGCTGGTGATCTTACAGGAAAACTGATGCTGTACTCACAAATGTCCTGTTTCTCTCCTACTTGTCCTTTCTCAGGTGCCTCCTGAGAGAACGTGATGTGGTGAGACCCAATTCACCAATGACAGAGCGACTTATCAGGAAGGCAGCAGCCATCCATTCCATGGCGTAACGCTTTCCTCCGTGCTTCAGGTGAAATAGCTATGTGCTTACCACAAAGTCTGGGTGCAGGGAGGGCAGGGGTAGCTGTGCTGGAATCGGGGGAGGTTCCTAGGGATTAGAGATGTGACAACAGTTTTCTTAAGAAAAAGGACACAGCTGTCGCATTTCAGGAGGTTGTATCTTAGATGATTCCACAAAGAAAGAAGAAAACCTGCTGATAATGCACAGCTTTCTGAAGCATCCCAAGGGCACTGCTTCTCTGGTATATTTTCCTGAACATTCCCTCTGACCCTGATTGTATACAGTGCAGTGACAGTGCCTGGGTTTCAGTCATTCTCTGGCCCAATTTGTTACTTGGCTAATACGTTAAGTAACTAATAACTGCTCAGGTAATTCGAAGGGAGCTTTTAAACAAAGCTAAGAGGAAGGTGTGGGGTCAGAGCCAATACAGGGTTGAAGTGAATTCCACATTAAGCTTCTAGTCTATTCAGGAATGAGTCACAGACTTGGACATTACAGATCTGTCTGCATTAAGGATCTCTTTCTGGGTGCACATTTTTAAACTGCCTCTCATAAAATCTTAGGTTTTTCTTTTCAGTATAGCATGGCAGAGCTTTCTAAAATTATTATGTGGATGAAAACAGACAAGAGGGATAACAGTGACTATTCTAACATGGGTACTCCCTTAGCACTTTAAAATCTTTCAGAAAAAGAGGAAAAGTCTGGACTTCATCTAAAACAGTACCATCTCTGAAGGGTACTTTGGACTGGGGTCTTTGTGCTTACCTGAGCTTATGGGAAGTCAGGCCTCACTATCATCTCACTACAAGACCCTGCATGTTAGCCAGGTGGTGTTTAAAATCAGTATGAAAGCACACACTTAAAGAGGTCCCTCTGAGCTGGTGAAGACTGAAAGGGAGCTTCTGCCATGGAAGGAAAGCAAAGCTCTATCCCAGCACATGTGATGTGATAAGCTCTGGTGCTGCAAATGAGGCAGAATATGAGCCTCTGTCGAGTTCTGGTGCCTCTAGATTCCTGCAGTGTACCAAGTTAACAGATTGCCTTGCAATAGTATTCCAGAAATCTGTAATGATAGGAAAGATGGTATTTTGAACCAAAACTGAACCCATGCCTCTTCTTCTTCCTGAACAGAAATGACACACTCTTCAACTGCCCAAGCTCTGGCTTTGCTACCACATCTGCAAGCTCTCCTGGCCACAGATGCCTTCCCCTCCTTCCTGCCCAGCTCAGGCTCTTCCCCATGTTCCACAGAAGCCTCCTCCTACACACAGTTTCTTTTTGACCTAAAAAAGCACTTCTATAGCTGGCCCTGCGCTGCCCCTGGAGTTCCTGCAGAGAGGAACAAGAAGTGGAAGTGCCTTGCTGCCATCCTTCCCCCAGCCCTCCTTTGGGGCAGGAATTGCTTATTTTTAAAGCAATGACAATTTGTGAAACCAGGTAAGCGGTTGCATTCTCTCATGCAGTCTTGTGACTTATGATTATGCTGTTCTTCAGCTTCATCACTGCTTTGTCTGTCCAGCCATGTCTGGAGGTGACTCACTCTGGACTAAAATTACACTGTATTTTTACTATTATTTTTAATCAGTGCATTTCAAGCAATGACTTTAGATAGGAACCTTTTTATTCAATGAATCTAGCAAATCTGATTAGGGAACAAAAGCCTGAGAAATCTCTGGCTGTCTTTGCAGGGTGTAGTTTATGTGATCCATTGCTACACAAGTTTAAGAATTACAGTTGAAGTACTTGTGATATAATGTAACAGAATTTTGTCTGCTTTACATCAATAAACTCAAAGATGGATTTGGTTGAGCAAGAAAGTATATGACTTCTTTGCATGTGTGAAGTTTTAGATGTGTTACTCAGCTTAATCTCATAAACCTTTAACAGTGTACATCCACTTTGCTTCCACCACTGGGACTAGAAGCTTTTTCATTCAACTGGTATTAAAAATTTTGCCCATAAATGAGAACTTATGGTTTTCTGCCTTCCCCTTACTTTTATCTAAAATCCTCAAACCATTCTGTCTTGCTTCACTATGTACTGCTGAATTGTTGGAAAGTAATTAACAAGCAGATAGCTCAGTGGGTAGAATAGGAGAGAAAGAACTGGACCAAGGACATGCTGACTCCTAAAGGCTCTTTGTACCTAAGTGGAGCAGCTGAAAAACAGGTGACACAAACTTTATATAAACATCTAATGCTTGCCAGAGAGATAGCTGTGTACAGCCACCATGCATGCTGCCAGGACACAACAGGGGCAGCAGTGAAGGGACTTGTTCTCAGGCTCCAAGTTCTGGTCCTGGAAAATGGCATTGCATTTGTTCTGCAGACTCCCACCTGCAGCTGCCTTGTCATGGAGCTGTCACATGGAAGCTACCTCAGACAAAAGCAGGGCCCACAAGGGCGGTGGCAATAGGCAGTGTTAGGACTGCTGGAAGAAAGCCAAATATGGTTTCACCTCAGTCACTAGGAAGGAAAAAAATGACTTCACAAATTCTGTTGGTTATCAGGAGAACACGCACTGACTGGGTCTTACCTTGAAGCTGACTTGTTGCAGCAACAAGTGGAACCATAACTCAGCCCAGTGCCTCTGCAGGCGCCCCCTGAGGCCTCATGCTTTGCTCTCCCACATAGGCCTGGTCCCAGGTTCACAGGGCCAGGGGTCACAGCCAGCCTTGGCAAACATGGCATCTCCTTGGAGTCAGTCAGTTAGGAAGAGGCTGAAGTGCCAGTAGGTGGGAGAACTATTTTCTTTCTGCCTCATCCTCATGCATTCAGAGCATGTATTTTCCAGCTTCCCTCTCTCTTCAGCTCAGTTGCCCAGACTGCAGTTTTCTTCCTCCCTTCTGCGAGCAGCTCTCATCTCCAGTCTGCCCCCTCCCTGAGGAAAAAGCCAAAGCCCTGTACACCTGAGACCTGCACCCCTGGCAGCAGGGCAGTTTTGACAATGTGAACAGCACTGCAATTCCTATTTCTTCCCTTGTCCTTCCTCTACACGTTATGATTTGGACTGAGTTTAAGCTGTCAGCATCTCACTGGCACCCTCCATTTAGTGGCCTGCCTTGTAGCTTACAAGAGTGTGGGGAGCGCTGTGTCTGAGAGGTGCCTCGTTCAGGTTCTTTTAAAGTCAATCATCTAGATATTAAAAAAGTACACCCTTAGAATGAGCCAATATCTCACTTCTTCAGGATATTAAACCCAGTGTTTTAATACTACTTAATTATTTCCTCTTGTTTTAGGACTTCAACAACTGCTCAGAGCAGCTGTTCAATTACATGAAATCCAACCAAATTACCCCATCACATTAATATTAAACGCATCTTAGTTAGGAAGTTAATTGGCAGAAATATTCTCCCTGAATCAAGACTGTTCTCTCCTTTGTACTTAGCTAAGCATCTGCACTATAATGCCAACTCACATCTGTGCAGTTCTGGTTTAGACGTGGAAGGAAGACACAGAACACAGGCAGCAGCTGGTTCTCTGCTGTGTTTACATATAGAGACAAACTGCACATTAATAAACAAGAAGTGACTGAAAACAGATTTTATTTGCAAATACAGCAAAGTCAGTGATTCAGGAACTCTACAGACAAACGAGAGACATCTTAAAAAGTGGCAAAATCTTCCCCTTTTAATGCTTTACTGACACGTCTTCATTTAGTTCTAAGACAATCATTTTAATAAGATTTTCTGGGTTTATCTCTTTCCATCCTCTTGGGAACTTGCAATCTTTGAGTGGTTAACAGATTGGTATCAAGATGCAAAAAAGTGGAAGGCTGTTGGTGTTACTGTAAAGCTTATCTGAAAGTAAAAATTATTGCTCCTCTGTCCTCACCAACAGTTTCCCTCTTAACAGCTAGACTGCCTGAATAAGACATCTTTGTACAGAGGGTTTTCAGTTCCATCAACTCACAGACCGCTTATTAGAATCCAGTAGAAACTCTGCACAAGTTTCTGGTGGGGTGTTTTGGGAACAACGAAAAGCACGTTAACTGCAAAAAAGGGCTCAGCCACTGTAGTTAGGGTTATACATCGCTGAGAAAGCGAGTTTCTCCAAAGTAGAGCCAGGAAAGCAGTATGTGGGATAACCCACAGCTACCTCAAAACACTAAGAAGAACCTCACTTGTCAGCGTGTTGCCCAGTGCAACATGGGCTACAAAATGTCTTAGGACAGCAGTTCTACCACTGGCCTTCAGAGAACATAACTGGTCTCTTCCAATCATGTCCTACATCTGGAAAAACGAAAATTGACGCAGACAGATAGGACAGAAAACCTCAATGCTCCTTAAGAAGTTTCTTCTGTCCTGTCACATTCGCAAAGCAAGTGTTCGCATTGAGAAACTATGTGGCCACATCCACGGCAAAGCCTGGCTCGTTGGGACACAGCCTTCGTACCCTTACAGCCCTTAGCTGCAGCCAAACCCTCAAATTTCATAGGTTGTGGCTTTCACAGCTTCAGTTGAGCTCTGCTTTTGTAGAGGTCAAAACAAGTTACTGCAGATCTCCGTAAGAATTTGATCCAAAAACTTTCTGATCCGTCTTGTCATTGTACAGATGAAAATTTTCTGCTCAAGAATTAACGGCATGGACTTTAATATAGGCTTTTTTTTTTTACCATTTGAACTCAAAACTTGTATCAGCATTAACAAGCAGTGTTTTGAAAACAAAGTCATCATTCTCACCTACACTGAGCTGTTTACAGTAATTACAGATTAGAGGATCAAGAACAGATGAATTCTGCACTGAAAAGAATCTCTATAAAAACCTGAGAGCTTCCTTAAAAACTGCTGTACTGGTAATTTTTCTTGTAACTGTTCACAAAGAGAAATCCTCTCTATTTTTAAGACAATGCACTTACAGTTATTTGCCCACAGAAGTGATAACATTCAATTTCCCATCCCACAATTCTGATTTTCCTGCTATGGTTATCCAAATGCCTATGATTCATTTAAAAGAGGAAGAAGAAAAGACAAGACAGTCTCAAGTATAATATCTGTTTTGCCAGCCCTCCTCAATGCAAAATTTGTTTGGATTAACACTCCAAAGAACTGTAGTAAGAAGAAAGAAGTCACTAAGTACGAGAACACCTGCAGTACGGAAAACAAGATGAGGGATATAAACTGCCACGATCCCTCTAAGATATAACACATCTTCTTTGATCCTCCTTATACTCTATTATGTACTCTGGGTAAATCTGGTGTTTTTCAAAGATAACAAAAACAGAAGGATTTAACTCATCATCCACACAGCTGTCATAAAACCAAAGCCCATCCACAGACTTTTTTGGAGGGCGAACATAGGCTGCATTCCCTTTAATATAGTCTCCAACCAAAACACGAGCCACGAACATCATGTTTCCTTTCTCCGTAGCCTGACAGTATGCATGGGAATAGGAAGCATCTCTAGCAAAGTAACTTCCTGGAAAACAAGATGAAAATGTGGTTGTAAGTAGTATCTACAGAGGCAGCAAAAACTGAGCACCCCCTTGGTTTTCTGACACAACTTTCAGGTCACTTCTTACTCACTTTACATAATATCACCAAAATTTTTGCAAGAAAAAGGATTTCACCATATAATTTCCATTCAGAATTTGCTATTTCATGATTAAGTTTTTAAAAAGCAATAAATATAAGCTCACTACAGGTACTGTGTGTTATGATGAGAGGGACAGACAAGAAAACATGAGGACCTTTCATGATCACACTGAGGGAATGCACACCCTTCTTGCTCCCTGCCATTAATTTTTCTTGCAAGTTCAAATTATGACCTCAAGCACCAGAAGATCTCACCTACAGCAAACCCCTACATCAATTCTCTGGACATCTTGTGAGAAAACTTACCCCCACACAAAGCAAATCCCAGCCCTGTTCAGAAGGAAGGAAGATCGTAATACCTATTCATACCCTTTTTTTTTAACCTTCTGTAGTTAAAGACTTCAGGACTTTGATTGTTCCGCTGTCAGGAGAGTCTGAGTAGACATCTAACTCACAAAGTCACTTCCTACATACCCATTCCATAGTTAGTTCCATTTTTTCCACAAATTCTCCAGTCAAAATTCTGAGTGCAGATGGCTTCCATGGAGGTGGTGTTGGTTCCATGAAACAGGAGCTTTTCCTGCACTTCCTTTCCTCCATTTTCCCTTTTCATCTTCTCCTTTTGCCTGACAAAAATGCAAGGGAGGAGAATGTAAGGAAGAAAAGGGAGAAAGAGGTTTTAAAAAAAAATCAAAAAAAGAAACCTCAAACAACTTTATAACGTCCTTGTAAATGTCAGCTGGATGAGATTTCCAGCCTGCCTTCTCTCAGCTCAGAAGATGAGACAGACCAGCAGTGTGATGAACAAGTACAAGATAAGCACTGCTAAGCAATTCTAGATAATTCTGACTTTACTCGATGAATTTAAGGGAACGTTGACACACATCTCCACTGTACCAACCTTTTGCTCCTCTGTAGGGTCCTACTGATTCTGCTTTAAGGTCTCCTGTTCCTTCCCACCCTGACTTTCAGTGAAGTGGAGGCAGCAATAACCATGGAGCCTCCATGCTTCCACAGTGGCTGAAAGCTACAGGCAGCTTGTTCTTTGTGCCAACACCCTGAGCTCCTGCGCCTGGGGAAGATCAGTGTGGCTGAGGAGACAGGGCTAGGAGAGAAATCGAGCCTGCTTTCACTACTGCAGACCTCACTGATGTAAGCCGGAGTCAAACTAAGCTGTGAACAGGATCAAAAGTGGAATCACAACAAAAGGCTCAACTAGTATTTCCCATCACTATTCCACAGCCTCCAGATATCCCTCAGGTTTTCAGAAGCTGTTGAAGTGGACAAGACAGTAATATTCTTCAGAAAATGATCAGCTACAAAGTAAGCAGGGCCAGGGTGAGGGAAGAATCCTTCCAACACGCAAATTAAGAAGTGAAAAGTTAAAAGCAGTGGACTGAAATCTGTTAATTGAGAACTTAACTGTGATGGTGGGGAGGCCCTGGCACAGGTTGCCCAGAGAAGCTGTGGCTGCCCCATCCCTGGAAGTGTCCAAGGCCAGGTTGGATGGGGCTTGGAGCAACCTTGGCTAGTGGAAGGTGTCCCTGCCCATGGCAGGGGTGGAACTGGATGAGCTTCAAGGTCCTCCCAAACCAATCTACTCTATAATCCTATGGACTAAGCAATGTTAAATTCTGCCTGCTTAGCTTAATTATCTCATTGGAGTAGGATAAAAAATATGCACTATTACATGTTTTGAAGTCTCCTGTGTTTTGCTAGATGAAAAGGTTTTATGCAACCATTAGCAGATAACTTCCTGGGTACCGTCACTTAGCAGGGGAAAGCACAAATTTCAGCAGTATTTTTACTCCATTACAATTCCATACAGTCCTTGAATACTTACTCTTGTTTTAAACTAGACAACTGTACAATGCAACAGCTTAATCTTCTACCCAATTAACTTGAATCTGGTTGAGCCCCAGCTCACATCTATTGGTATCTAGCTTGGTATCTACCTAGAGTTCAGTATCACTGATGCAGATGTTGAAAAGTAGAAAGGAGCCTTAGAACTCAGAGATCATGAAATTCAAACGCAAGGATTCTTTCTCAGTGAGTACTGACTTCAGTCAGCAAAAGTACCTTAAATAAATCTGACTGGAACAAAAAGACCCAGGCAGCCTTCAGCTTTTTTATCATTTCATATACTCTAAACAGACAGGGCATGTGTGCAGCAGGCAGTTACTGCTCAATCCCTCAGACAATCACTATTCCACATCCCAGTGGGTATGCTCATCCCAGTTTTGTGTCACGTCTTTCTCTCCGTGCTCCTCTCCCCCTCTTCCAGGGAACCATGCAAAAAGAACCTCCCCACAGGAGCATGACATTCTACAAAAGACCTCAGACACTAATTTCACTCCTGAAACGGCTCCTAAGAAGGAAATAACCAGTCATGCTAAAGCACAGGTGATAACCTCCTTTCTTTCTTAGAAAGCAGATACAGGACACCTTGTTCTTGGAGACTCCCTCCCTGTAAGGATAAGGAAACAAATACTAACCACTGAAACACCTTCCAGAGGGATGGATTCTGAATCCTCTGTATTTTAAGGATGCTGTAGGTTTTCATAGTCTGATGGAACAGCTGCTTTATTGTGTTGTACTCAGAGGTCACACTACTGATCTCCACTGCCTATAAAATACAAACCAAGCATAAGAAGACATGAGGCTTCAGTTGGCTCGTAACATACCGAAACCTTATTAAAGCAGGTACACTTCCAGAAGGGTCCCTCAACTATGCTTATAAGGGTAATGTAATGCTTTAAATAGTGACTGTGTGAATAATTAAATAATAAGTAAATCACTCTGTCACTCCTGCTTTGCAAGGACACCTCACCTCTCTTCAGAAAGGATGCTGAAAGTATCAGTTACAGGTTTATCATCTCCAAGAGTTGACACTTGCAACGTTAAATCTCAATGAAACAGAAATCACAAAAAAGAAAACTTGACTGATTATTCCAGATAATGTCAGTTTTATATCTAAGGCTATTAAGAACAAAAGATGTTATAGATAACAGTATCATTTGTAACCAGACATTTATGGGAGCTTCAGCTCGGAAACAAAAAGCCTATACACCCTCCTGGCATTGTAGTGCCTTAACTTTTCAAAGTTAGAACTTGGAATGCTGCACTTAAATAGAGACTTAAGAAAAAAAGCTACAATTCTAGACAAATGTGACACTAAGTACCTGCTTAAGCAAATACATCTCCTTTCCTGAAGGCAGCAAATCTATTAATCTATTATTCTTTTACTTATCTATTTCTCCCTACTTTTCATGTTTAAAGATCTGTCAAGAAATGCACGTTTTCCCAAGGAAAAGTTAATGCAAAATACAATTAAAACATTATTTGAACCCTTCTGCTTGCTTATGTCGTACATAAATTTTCCATTTTTTTCTCCAAAGTAACCCATGTCTTTAATCTTCTGGAATTAATGTTTATCTCCATAAACTGCAAAGGCATGATGCTGGCAGACTGATGTCACCTTTCCACTTTACCACAGCCCAAGCCAAGTGGAGACTTAAGATGCCCTAAAGTGAAATGCCCAACATCCCACATTCTAAAGTGCTTTAAGCAGGAAAGCTGGAGCCATCCTAGAGGGTAACAGGAAACCAACATCTTGACCTACCAGGCAAAACATTTGAGAAGGCTGAGTTTGGAGAGAATATAAAGTAGGACTTGTATTTCACAGCCGCATAAAGAAGTGGTTTTTGGACAGCTTGTGCATTAAGTACTTACTAATGAAGAGACCTGTCACAGGGAAGTCTATGAAGATTAAGAATAAAGTCAGCTGCACAAGAAAGAACCATTTCTTTGAATTTATTTAAAAGCCTTAATAAAGTTGAGTGAAATTTCCCATGTCTCAATAGGGGAGTATTTTCCAAAGCTGCTTTACAACACAACACATAAAAGAATTGGGATGAGCAAAAACTGATTATCTGCACACTCTGTGGCACCAAAGCTCAGGCTGTTCACCATCACCTACAGGATGAAAATTATGTCACTATACTTCAGCACTACATCTTTTATTTAGAATCAGAGAATAGTTTGGGTTGGAAGGGACCTTAAAGCCCATCCAGTCCCACCCCCTGCCATGGGCAGGGACACCTTCCACTAGCCCAGGTTGCTCCAAGCCCCGTCCAACCTGGCCTTGGAACTCAGCCATTCCAGGGATGGAGCAGCCACAGCTTCTCTGTGCAACCTGTGCCAGGGCCTCCCCACCCTCACAGGGAAGAATTTCTTCCTAATATCCCATCTAATCCTATTCCCTGTCAGTGTGAAGCCATTCCCCCTTGTCCTGTCACTTCAGGCCCTTGTAAGTAGTCTCTCCATCTTTCTTGAGGGCTCCTTCAGGCACTGGAAGCCACAGTTAGGTTACCCTGAAGCTTCTCCAGTTGAGCAATCCCAACTCTCAGCCTTTCCTCCCAGCAGAGCTGCTCCGTCCCTCTGTTCATCTTGGTGTCCTACTCTGGACTCACTCCAGCAGCTCCATGTGGGGTTGTCCTCATTTCCCCAAGGATGCTTCCACTGCTAATAAAGGGTCATAGCACCATATTGCTGGTGCAAGCTGATACTTCATAACTACACAACTTTATCACCGTTTTTCACCTGCAGGCCTGAAAAGGAAAATCCTACTGAGTGTGAGCATTTGCTGTCCCATTATCAAGGAGAGGAGTTCCTGAGACAGAGCAAGAATCACTGGCCTGGCAGTGATTTCCATTAGTGTGTGACTGTACAAGCACAGTACTCTGTGATATCTCCCCATGAGCTCTGCTTCCCTTGGAGTTTGGAGGGAACAGAGTTTGTATTTGTGACAGTGACCCAACTAGAACAAGTCTAATACAAAAAAAGCCTTTTTTCTAGCATCCTGCAGTACTTCCACAAACTGTGCTGCTTTTCCAGAATGACTGCTGGATGTAGTAAACTAAAAAACACCTACACGTTTTGGTCCTGGTAGACCCAATAGGAACATACACTTTTGGCTGACGGTGGGTTTGTTTTGTTGAAGAGATCACTTCAAGTGTTCTCTTATTTTATTGCTGTAGCCCTTTATTTCTGCCAATCCTGGAGGCCAAGGTCTATGCTCAGACCTGTGATGTATGCAACAGTACTGGAGGATATACAGATTTCCTTTCCTAGATGTCCCGTCCAAACTTTATCTACCAACAGCCATGACAGCATTACTGGGCAGCCGATTTAATGGTTTGCAGGATCTAGTCTCAGTCCAACTTCTAGTGAAGGAATATACACTTCATAAAAGCCCTTTGCTTAACTGGTCCACTGAGTAACCAAGGTAAGACAATTTTTAATTTTAACAGTGAATCTTTTTTTCTCAAACTTGGCAAGTTTTGGGTTTGCATGTAGATAAATGTAAAATGCAGATGAAGTTCAAGGGAATTTGGTATCTTTTTCTTGAGAGATCACCAAGATTTTTAGCACACCCCAAGAAATCACTCCTGTCCCTTTTTAGCATCTACATAGTTACAATTGATTCAGTTAAGCTTTGAATCCTGCCTTTCCATCAGAATTACAACTATAGAAAGAAAAAAGATACCTTGTATCCCAAGTCAGGCAGTGCAGATTGATCCCAGTGGCTAGGACAGGCTTGATTTGGAATAGAAGAATCCCTCTGGCTGTTTGCAGAAAGAAAATTAAGTAATTATTAATTCTAGTACTGCTCTAAACATTGAAATTTGCAGCATTCCTTTTAGACAATTCCTGCATTTAAAAATTAACAAGATAAACCACAAAGAAACTGGGAAATGGCCTCAGACTGTGAGCTGGGCTTCGCATGCTGCCACTCAACCATCACAGGCCTCTTGCGCTTGCTTTTCTAAGTAGCAACTGTGGACATAGAACCTGGACTAACATGTACCCCAGATGCCCAGTGATGCACCAAGCCAAGAGTTTGTGCTACAGCCTCTGTTCAGTGCCAGGGATGTGCTTTGTGCTTTCTCCCAGCAGCAGCTGTGTTCTTTGCACCATTACTGACACCACTGGCAGCCATTTTTCCCCTGAACCTCTGAAATATAACAAAAAACAACAACATAAAGAGCATAATTTACCCTTTCTTTATCTTCTGCACATCTTCAGAAGACACAAATTTTGGTCGCCTGCAGACCTGTCTTTGAGTTTTAAAAGCAATGTTTGTCTGGATCATTTCTTGAGGAGAAAAAGAACAGGAAAAAAAATCATGAATAAATCTACAGGAAGGGGTCATTAATTAAGGACAGGCATTCTTTAATGGAAAGTCCATATTCATTACCAATTCTACCTGCTGAAGAATAGTTGCACAAAGCCTATGTAAGCTTCTTATCCTTCCTGTAACTGTGAACCTGTGCTTATGTTGCTTGCTCCCTCAAGTTCCTCATGCTCTTTAAATGTTGCTCAAGCAGCACAAACATGCTTGATTTGTACTTTTTACCATCCACAGCATTAATTCACTTTACTTAAGGCTTACTATGACTTTATGTGAAAACTATGAATCTTTTTGTTTCTGGTCATATGTGAGTCTGGAAAGTGTCAAGGAATAAGGGGGAAGGTTACTTTTGTAAGGAATTTCCTCTGGGCCATCACTACCTCACTTCCCCTTCCAACAGGTGAAACTGGTAATGTCAGGAAAGGAAGCCATAGCTTCTAAAAGCTGGGAGAGTTTGCAGGTTAAGTCTTTGTACAGCACTGCAAAGTTGTACATGAGAACCTTTAAAATAAGTACCTTTAAAATTGAGGTTGTAATGATGCTGACCAGCCTGGAAAGATATGGTGGCATCTGGATCTGCTTGATACAAATTCTCAAGAACAGCAGAAGATGGTGAGTCCACACTGTCCCCTTCTCCCTTTGTGGGGAGAAAAAGAAAAAAAAAAAGAGAGAGAAGAAAGAGTATCACAGTCAGGACTAAAACCTGGATAAATCACTTGGGTAGAGCAAAAGGAAAGGCAAAGAGTAGGATGAAGAGAATCCACTCAGAACTATGGTGGCCTGAAGCATGAGTACGGAACATTTATAATGTAGACACAAATACATAAGTGGTAATGACAGACACAAGTGTATCCTGTAAGAAGTTGTGTTGGTTTGGGCTGGGGTAGAGTTCCATTTCTTCCCAGTAGCTGGTAGGGGCTGTGCTTTGGATTTGTGCTGGAGCAGTGCTGCCAGCACAGGGATGTTTTAGTTATTGCTGAGCAGGACCTGCACAGAGCCAAGGCCCTTTCTGCTCCCCACCCACCCCACCAGCGAGGGGCTGGGGGGCACGAGGAGCTGGGAGGGGACACAGCCAGGACAGCTGATCCCAGCTGGCCACAGGGACATCCCACACCATGTGGGGTCATGCTCAGCACATGGAGCTGGGGGAGAAGGAGGAAGGGGAATGTTGGGAGTGATGGTGTTTGCCTTCCCAAGCCACCGTGACTGTGATGGAGCCCGGCTTTCCTGGGATGGCTGAGCACCTGCCTGCCATGGGAAGTAGGGAATGAATCCTTTGTTTGGCTTTGCTTGTGTGCATGGCTTTTGTTTTACCTACCAGTCTTTATCTCATCCCACCAGTTTTCTCACTTTTACCCTTCTGATTCCCTTGCCAATCCCATGGCAGGGGAGGGAGCGAGTGGCTGTGAGGGCTGAGCTGCCATCTGGGTGTGACGGCTGCACTCGGCTCCTTACCAAACTCGTGTTTGTTTGGTTCAGGCTCCAAAGGAATTAATGGCCTAGGCCATGACAAGGCCATGAACTTTTCCAGTTCCAACCTGTTCTCTGAAAACCCACAAAGGCACAGGGTGACATGGTGAGCATTGATGCATATGAGCTTGGAAATGAACACTGACCACGTGAGTAACACATGAATAGCAGGTGGTTGTTCCAAGACTAATTGGTCAAGGAGTAAAGAAAGCTGCAGGTTTAAGGAGTTTCACATTTCTCTTTTGCATGTAATTTAACTGTAAGCCAACCACTTTATTCCACAAATAGGACAGCCTGAGTGAACTGGTTTTGAGCACACCCTGCTGAAGAGTGAGCTGCACAGCAGTGGTCTCTTCTGGAGCTGGGACGCCTCTCAAGTTTACTCCTTGAAGCTGAGGCCCTTTACCAACTGCACTATATTCAAGATCTTTCCCTGCATACTTTTCCAAGTCCCTGGATCACCTTTGTGTTCTACCATTTGCACAGATATACTGTAAAGCATATGAGGAAAACTCATTTGCCTTGGGGGAAGCTGAGATTCCTTATTTCTTTTCCTGCGTTTTTCAGATAGATTAGTTTCTCATCAGAGGACCTGGCCATCCAAGGAAAAAGACTGCATTTTATCTGAGAGAGCAAAGCAACCCTTGCATGTTCAAGGAAGCAGGGCAATGATTTGAAAAGAGGGAAGTACTTCCCATATATCTTAAGGACAGTGTATACAGGTTCAACCTATGCAGAAGCCATGGATAACTCCAAAACGGAGTTCCCTTCCCTCCAGCCTGTCAGCATTTTATCACATCTCTTGTGAACACCTGTAGCTTTGCTGCCTTACCTGACACTATAAAATTCAAGCACAAGGATTCACTGAATTAAACCTGCTGAGTAAAGGGGAGTGGGGGGAGAGGCTCCCTATTCCTGTAGAAGTGACTCAAAGCACAGGATATAAAACTCACCTGTTCTCCATATTCAATCCACTGGTCTTGGTTATTCTTCCAGTACCATATCCACTGTGTGGTCAGTACAAATGTGGGTTTCGTGACTGATGATGGTGTAGAGAGGCGCCGAACTGGAGAAGAATAGCAGGTCATTGTCTGAAAGTTAATGTTCCTGTCTGCCATGCTGTAAGGAAAAAATCCAGGGGTTTTACAGTTAACAGTTAATCTTTTATCCTCCAACCCTCTGTTTAGGCTTGTGCAATTTTCTTTAATAGAATGTCACTGAACTTAATGTCACTTCAATATAATGTCACCGAAATAAGAGTATTTTCCACAGCACATGGCAGCTCTGAAAACCATTTCCAAGCTTCATAAGCAAACTGTGGCCTGGGAGACATGGAATGCCATCTCAATCACTGGCCATATGTGGCAATGCCAGCTTTACAGACAGCACGGGACTGCAAGTACAGCATGGCAAAAGGTACTCTGCAATAAGGAAAGTTTCCAGTTTGTCTCAGTGCAAAACAAGAATTTCGTAAGTACATGCGGCTTATCGACTTTGTTCTCTTCCTGTGGTTAGTTAAAAAGGATGCAATCACAACCATCACAGGTCTGCAAATTGTATTCATCACTGGAGCTACCTGGGCTCTTACTCCTGCGAGGCTTGAAGAATTAACTCCGAGGCAGGAGGACTTTGAAAGCAACCTCCTCTTGCAAATCTTCCTTGTGATCTGCACCATCCAGCAAGATGCAGTTCAAAATATCCTGTTGCCTTAAGAGGCATGGGCCAAAATTACTATACACTTTTCAAAGGTGAACTTGGGGTCTTCTATGAATCCAGGTAGCACAGTGAGGCTTTTCAGAAAGGACTTAAAATAGAAAAAAAAGTAGGAAAAAAAAGAGATGTGCTGCTTACACAAGGGCCATCTCATAAAATGTCTCTAGGCACATGGCAAATATTACTATTATTATTATTATTGTTGTTGTTATTTTTATTACGCATACTAGGTGTTGTAGGAAAAGAACAGCCATAGAGGAGGACCAGCTCTAATATGTTTTTAAAAGGCCTAACTTCATTACTGTAAATAAATTATGATTCATTATTTGAAATGCTGATATTCTAAACACTGTGTTCCACTCTCTTTTTACTGTGCACAGAGCTTTAAAAGTAAGATATAGTTATTTTTAGACATAAATGGGGTGATATTGTCGTACAATCATTTTTACTTTGCTTTTTAAAAGGAAAAATTCTCATTTGTACATCCTCCCAGATTCTGAGAGGCTCAGTAGCCAGAAGTTAAGGAAATCAGACATCTTTGGAAGAAAATGGGAGTTTTCCCACAGGAGTTCAATCACAGTACTCCAAGCAAGGAGTCCAGCATCACTATACCTGCTGTTTTTTGGGTCACAATAGGCCTTTTCAATTTCCTCCATCATGGAAAGGTCATTCCAGATGATCCCATCATACATCTCCCATTTATATGGCAAATGGTAATGAACAGATTTGCATTTATCTGTAATGAGATCAGACATCATAGTTGAATTCTCTAATCATAACGCAGAGAGCAAAACAACAAAACCCAAAAAAGAACCAGCAGTTTTTACACCTTGAGGCTTTCTCCCTGGGCTTTGGTATGAGCAATGAAGACAGAGTGCTGAACACAGAAGGGGGGGTGTGTTTCTCCAGTGAGTGAGAAGGCACAATTGCCATTGACACTCCATATGCCACCACTAGCCCGAGCCACTGAGCAGGGACTGTCTTTGCAGTCACTGTTCTCCAGTGACTACATTACTTTTTATAAAGCTTACCCTTATGTTTGCAGTACTTCCAGACATAGAACACACAGATCTCATCACAGTTAACTTCTTTGTTGTCCTTTGAAGCTTCAGCAGAGGAATCGTCCTTTTTATCTACAGGAAAGAACACATCAGTCCTTATTTGCTCTAAGAGAAAGACACTGCCTTTGGTACTTCATCCCAGAAATAACAAAGATTTGACTGCAGTAGCCAAGTGAAGCATTTTCAGGATCTGACTATCCCCTACACAGCCCACCACACGAGTCAGGGCTTTGTGACTGACCAATAAACCCTGACACTGGAGGAAGTCTCAGTGGAGAAGTGCAAGGGTAATGTCAGGAAGAGTAACACGGGTGTCCAGGTTCCTGGAAAGCAGCCAACTTTGCCTCCCCACCAAGGGGTCCAGAGAGTGGATAAATGGCAGTGTCAGCTCAGCAGATCGGTGGGGGGTAGAAATCTTTCTCCCTGAGTTGGCCAGACCAGCATGGGGGGAGCTCAGCCCAGCACAGAAGTACTAAGCCTAAAGAACTAACAAAAGAATTCTCAAGACAGCAACAGGCTTCAGCTGGCTTCAACCCTTCCCAGAGACTGGGGACACCCAGCTTTGAGACAATGAGCATATTATACAGACGTGTAATGGGAGTGACATTAGCATTGTGATTGAACTGTGCATTGCAACTGCTACCTTTTTCTAAGTAACCATTTGTGTTTTGTTTTTTGTTTCTAGTGGAAACTCTACTACATCAGAAACGTCACTGTGCTGGACTTGGCTAGGATAAGATGTAATTTTCTTCATATGCTGTGTTTTAGATTTTTGACCAAAACAATGCTGGTAACACCCTGATAAGCCCTAGCTTTTGCTGAACAGTTAAACACAGCATCAAAGCCGCCTCCATTTCTCAACCTGCCCCCAAAGTGAATAGACTTGGGGATGCACAGTAGGTTGGGAGGGGACACAACTCGGGAGAGAACCCAAACTCACCAAATATTGCATACCATATAGCATAATGCTCAGCAATAAAAGGGAAAAGAGGGAGTTTTAGGAAGGTCAAGACTGGATGGTTAGAAACAACCTGTACCTTCATCTTTACCTACAGCTCCTGGTGGCAACTGGTGCTGTCTCTGACCAGCTGGGGTGCTACCAGGACCTGCATGAACAGCACTGCTGGGCCAGCTCAGCGAGCTGGCAGTATCCCAATCTGTGTGGAGAATTACGTCCATCACACATAATTTTGCTCCACCACCGATACAACAGATGAGTAGCAACAGTTGCAAACCCTAGCTAGTCACAATAAGCTGGCAATAAGCCAGCCACTCAATAGCTATTTTGCATGCAGTATTTTAGGTAATAATAGTGCAGTTCTCCCACATGATTCAGACATGACTTAATTCCTGAAAGTAGATAATGGCAGAGAGGAAAAAAATATGTACATGTTGCAAGAAGCGAAATACAAAAGCTGATTCCACATGGAAGCAGTTGGTACTAATATCTAGATATTTACCTTCTGGAGATGGCACACGGAGTGTGGAGTCCACTGTTTGCAAAGGCACCTTCGGTTCTTTACTTGTTGTAACTACTGGTTTTTTCAAATAATTTCCCCTTGGTTTGTAGTTGTGTACTGAAAGCACCAAAAGGATGATGGGGTTTAGCTGAGAGGTTTCTACCTCTATCAAACTCAAAATCCTATTTAAGCACAGTTTTTCTTACAACTTACCATTTCCCTTCATCAGTTCCCTGTGGAACTCCATGTGCTTATAATCATATATAATCTGGAGGTTCGAAGCTGTTTTCCTATCAATGCCTCCAGTTTCCAACACTCTCAGTGCATGGCCATCCAAGAGGTTATGGGACCTCATGCATGTTAAAAATCTACATTCCCCCTGGAGAAAATGTCGACAAACATGAAGCTTGTTGCAGTTGTTTTGCTGCATGCAGACATCACCTTTTTTGTTGTAAAACCGGCAGGTCTAGAAGTGGGGAGGACACAAGATGAAATGGAAAAACACATTAGAATCTTTCATTGTTCTATAGGCATGCAGCTTTAAGAGCAGAAAAATGGTGACTAAAAGGCATGTGGTCACTGTGACTTCTTCAATCTAGACAGATTCCTTGCACAGAGGAGCAGGTATTTTAAGCCAACTCATGCATTTTTGGTTCTGAAGTTGTGCAATTTTTGTTTCAAGAAAAGCCAATCCAACAAGCATGGAAGTGCCAAAAGAGGATGCAAGACAGTTGCATAAAACTGAATATGTACTTCCTATTTGTAAAGCTTATTCTGCATTGAAGATCTGGGCTTCCAAAAATGGTCAGAAGAATGCTTTGAGATTAGAGTACATATGGAAAAAGCAAAGCACTTCTTTATTCCTCTAGTAATCAAAAAAGAGATAAGCAATAAATCAGACCCAGGGAACAAATCACAGACCAAAAAGTCCTTCATATTGTCCACCAAGCACCACAGCAACACTTTTGCTCCTGAAGAACAGAGGAGCAGCCTGTAAGAAGAAAGCTTCTTTGAGGAGGACACACAGCTGTCTGGCAGATACATCATACCAGGACTCTCACAGGTCCCCCCCTTCCCACCAGGAGAGTTTTTATGCTGCATTGAAGCTGAATATATATAGATGTATATATCAGTTAGGGAATTATAGATTGCTTGGATGGCAGTGCTTGGAGACTGAAAAATTAGACCAGTTTCAGCTGCAAAACAGCTATTCACTGGATTCATAGTGTCTGTCACACAGCCTGAGCTTGGACTTAAGAATTACTGAAAAAAGCGTAAGATTTACGTAAAACACTGGTTTCAGGGGCCAGAGCAAAGGAATTGCTTTGGTGCTCAAGAGAATAGGGGAAAAAAAAGCAACTAAAATAGAGAATCAAGTAATAACTGAAAGAGTATCAGAAACACAAACATTTTGTATGGAGCGTCCATTACACAAAATAACACTTTAGGGTAGTGGAGATTGCAGCTACTTAAATGTCAAACTGAAGCTCTCAGAGTTTTAAGGACACTGAATCTGGCTGAGAACAATTCTACAGAGCATCAGGAGGAACATGAATTAGAAGATGTTAGTATGCAGGATGAAATTTTTACACAGGAACATCAGAATAAACTACCAAACCAGAAGCAAGTGCTGCCTTAGTGAAGTAAGTGTCCTGGTTTTGGCTGGGATAGAGTTAATTTTCTCTGTAGCAGCTGGTACAGTGCTGTGGTTTGGATTCAGGATGAGAAGAATGTTGATAACACAGAATTGTTTCAGTTGGTGCTGAGCAGGGCTTACTGCAGTCACGGACTTCTCAGTGTCTTGTGCTGTGCCAGTGAGCAGGGGCACAAAGAGCTGGGAGAAAGCCTGGCTGGAAAGCTGAAGAAACTGGCCAAAGGGATGTTCCATACCACAGAACATCGTGACCAGTATAAAAACTGGAGGGAGTTGGCTGGGAGCCACTGATCGCTGCTCAGGGATAGGCTGGGCATCAGTCAGCAGGTGGTGAGCAATTGTATTGTGAATTACTTGTTTTTCTTGGGCTTTATTAATCTCTCTCCTTCTCATCACAGCTATTATTAGTATATTTTATTTTCTTTCAATTATTATAGAATTCTTATCTCAATCCACAAGTTTTACCTGTTTTCCAGTTCTCTTCCCCATCCCACCAGGGTGGGGGAGAGAGCAAGTGGCTGCATAGTACTTACTTGCCATCAGGGTTTAAACCATGACAATAGGAAATGCACTATTTAGCTACATCAAGAAAGCAGCTGTCCCTTGCATATGCCAAGAAACAAATAAAAAACCAAAACAACAAGAAAACAAAAAAAAAACCCCAACCAAACAATAAAACAGCAAACCAAAAAAAAAAAAGGTGAGGAAAAGTGTGAAAAAACCCCTGATGTGGTGGTGCTGTTGTGGTTTTTTTCCTTACCCCTGCACCCAAGTTCAGGTCACAGAATACCAAAGTGTCCCCTTGCTTACCACATCCTCACACACACAACCAGTAGCATTTCTAAGCAGGAAACAGCCAAGTCAGCTTTTTGATCCCTCTTCCCAACTCTCAGGTTTATGAAGGGCCTCCATCAATCATGGTTTTCTCTTGGTTTTGCTATTTTACTGCATGATAGGAGTTAAGGTGCTCAATTAGAGGTAATTAATGATGCCTGCCAGGGGTGGGGGCTGAACAGATCCACAGTAAGAGCGTAAAGGTAATACCAACCAATGATGGTTGTTACTATATGTTCATTATTGGGAACAATCCCCCTTGCTTATCACCACCATGCTCCCTGAATCTGCCTGCACAACATACTACAAAATGCTACACGAAAAAAAAAAAAAATCTGTTTTGTCGAAGTCCTGTACTGTCACAGCAGGGAGTAAAGAAACAATAGAGCTATTATGTCATCAGATCTGTGGAGATTATAAGCTGCAAAAGACAAGGGTAACAGGCATTACTTACCTTGAAGACAGTACTGCCCTTATACACACACATAGACCCACAGTGGAATGTTCAGCCAAATTTAACAAAATTGATGACTGGCATACAAACTGGACAAAGATAACTCCATAGCAAATTGCTATACGAAAACTCAGTTCAGTTTGGAAGAGGCAGACTTTACACAAAAATTACTGCAGATATTTGGTCATTTTCTGATAGATTGTTCTCACTCCCTTATACCTTCATGCACCAAAATGTGCAGGCCTAGGTAGACTGGAGAAGGAAATAGGACCTCACTTCCTAGTCTCCATCACCTCTTGGAGAAAAAGCAACAAACCGAGTTTTTGGTAAGACCTCTTAGCCTGTAAGCATTACAATTATTGTGGTCTTTCAACTGTATCTTGCTTACCTCACCCTTTGTAAACCTGTAATGAAGCTGACATTTTTGTTTGCTTGTTCTGAGTAACTTTATGGACTTTATATTGTTTCTTCAGGTGCTTTCACACATGGCCATCCCCATTCCTGCTTCATTCAGATTCATCCTGTTACATTTTAACAGATTAACCTTGAGATCAGAACTCCACATTCTGTTATCCTCTCCCGTTCCTAGGTAACAAAAAGCTTCTTTTGAGACATCAGTACTACTCACATCAGGGAGGAAGAAAGTGTCGTTTTGAAGAAGCAGGATTCGCAGCTCATTCTCACTGAGGCCAGACAAATCATGTTTTTTTAGAACTTTTTTGTTCTCAGCATTGGTGATGTCATGTGAGTACTTGCAAGAGCTGCAAGAAAACAGACAGGCATATCAATGTTTATTCCATGAGTCAGGCTGATTTAAAGAAGAACCTCAGAAAACATGCAACTTCAAAAAAGCCATGAGGGTAAGGGGGCTTGGCAAAAGTTTTTGTAAATGTTTAGGTGGTCTCTGCAATTAGCCAAAGAACAGACCAGACAGCATAACTCCTCTGCGAAATGCAGTAGCATTATCATCCCCATTTTAAACACCAACATGGCTACACCACTTTAAAAAAAACTTAGCAGCACCAATTTGAAGCCAAGTCTGTCTATCCCATACATTCTTTACCTCCAGTAAAACACAAGTCAATGTACATGATCTGAACAGCTGGAGGGAAAGTTAATGTTAGAGCAATACACCAGAAACACTGGAGGTTGCAACGCCCTTGATTTTGTGAATGTAAAAGGTGGTTGTCCCCGGGATGGCATGTAAGGACAGATGCAAAAGTCTGGGAGAGCAAAACTAAGAGATAATGAAGCTGAAAACAACACAATTTGTTATCTTTGCTGGCTGGGAAGTTTGATTTTTTAAAAACAAAACAAACAAACAAAAAACTTCCTCCCCATCCAAAGGAAAAAAAAAACAAAAAAAAACAAACTGAAACCAAACAAGAAAATACAGCTTCATGTTCTGCTCTCTAACAGGTGATCTGATGCAGCCTTAAGACTAGACATACTAATCCAGCAGAAGTACCTGTTAATTTACCAGACTCCAGATAAAAGCCTATGATCCCTTTACTCTTTCAGCCTCTACTTAACTTTTGAAACTCACCTTGTGAAAGCTTTTTTAACTCAGGCTGTGTCTGATCCAGTTCTTCTGCACAGACACTTGAGTAGATATTTCTCCCCTGACCCCTCTACCTGTTGGACACGTTGCTTTTTAAGCAAATACACAAGGATGCAAAAGTCTGAAGGACAGAAGTGTGCCTTCTTAGATCCTGAGAAACAGTCTTCTAAGGCTATTAGGTGCTGTAGGCACTCAATAAATGGCTGGGAAGGTAGGTAAGCTACAGAGTACTTGAAGTGTGAGCCATCACCAGTGTTCCTCCACAGTCGACTTCGGATTTCCCCGACAGTCACGCTACATTACTTGAGTCCATATTTCTAAGTCAAAGATTTAAACACTCCACAAATACAATGATAACTGAACAACTGAGTTCAATAACACATTCAGGAAAGAAAAACAAAACAGTGAAAAGCTACTTGCGAGACATTAGTTAAAAACAAGATTCACTGGACTAAAATTGTGATTCCACTAAATAGAAGACCACAATAACTTGTAAATATGTTTTTCTTTCCAGGGATTCTAAAACAAAAAGGATGCAAAGTCTGGAAGCAAGGCTAGATTTTACCTTATCAGTTAAAAAATTCTCTCTATCTTGATCTATGTGGTTCACAGTATTTTTGTCCTAGCAGTATTTTTGTCCCCTCATTTTAATCAACCTTCTTCCCATGAAAGGCAAACTCTTCACTTTATTAATTTTTAACACATACCAAGGTGATTTTAAATACTTAGTGTTATTGAGAGGACAGAGTGGTTTATCATTACTAAGGGAATCACCTTATTGCACGTTTTAATTCACAGAGTCATCCAGCATGAGTACCTACAAGCACCTGAAGGCATTTCTAACAGTGAATCCCAGGGAAGCTCATCGTTCTGTCAGTAATGCAACAAACAGTAAGAAAATCTTATAATCCTAGTGGTTTGCTAGTACCACTCAAAGACACAGCCTTTCCCCTCTAAGCTCTTCAGCCGTCTATTTTATTGGGGCAGAACAGGAAGGATCCGGTGGGATACCAGCAGGTTATTAACACTGCAACAGTACAAGACCAGGGGCTTGTGGGCTTAAACTGCAAATTCTTCCATCAGAGCTCACTATTGCCACTGACTGTCACAGGAAAGCTTCCGGGTTCCTTCTTCTGCGTTTGCTTTTGTTTTCCTTTATCTTAATGTTTTTAAACTAGGTACCACTTTTGCGTGCCCTGCCCTTCCCGGGAGTCCTCCGTATTCTGGAAGCCGGGACTGATGTACACGGGCGATCAAACAGTGCCTCTCACGTAAAAGTCTGTAAGCGAAGCAGTGAGTTGCAACAAAATTCAAAGTTTGTAACTCTCTGGAGTAAAACCAGAGGGCATGCAACACTTTGCTTTTTACTTTGGAGAGAAATGTGTGCAAACCATTTCATCCAGATGCTGAGGGACGGGTATGGAGGCGAGTGGATTTATAACAAAACAAAGCAGTCGTAATACTGACGAAGAAAACCAAGCTTTAGAAAAACCTATCTCAGGCACTTCGGCCTTTTACCGACTCCGCGAGGGCAGGACGCGAGTCCTTCCAGAGCCAGGATCTCCCGGCCCGTGGCTGTGCCCGAGGGGGACCAACTGCCCCCGGGGCAAGAGATATGCGGGGTTTTGGGGGCATCCCCCTCCCCACCCCCCCCCTTCCCCTCCCCTCGGGCTGCCCGCACCCACCGCGCTCACCTGGGCCCCAGGTGGCACTTGCCCATGAGGTTTTGCTTGCAGAGGTGCAGCCGCTCGCAGCCGCCGTCGCACTCCTTGCGGGGGCAGACCCGCACGTCCGACACGGCCAGGACCTCGGCGCCGCCGCGCAGCATCAGGAAGCGCCGGGGGCCCGCCGCCGCCAGCGTCTCGGCCAGCTGCGGGGCCGACAGCCCGGCGTGCTGCTGCAGCTCCGGCAGCCCCAGCCGCCCGCCCTGCGCGCACAGCGCCCTGGTGAGGAAGCAGCACACGGCCGGGTCGCTCATCCTGCCCTCCGCCTGCGCCGGCCGCCGCGGGACGGCAGCGGCACCGGGAGCGCCGCGGGACGGCAGCGGCACCGGGAGCGCCGTGGGACCGGCAGCGGGCGGGAGCGAAGGCGGGAGCGGGGCTCCGCCGCCCGGCCGAGCTCGGGAGGAATCGAAAACGAAAGCGCGGCGAGGGCAGGAGGCGGGAAACTGCCCAGCCTGGAGGCTTCCTTGGCTGAAAATCACTCGGGAAACAATGCAAGAAGTAATTGAAAGGAGTGTGGGGCTTTCGTATAATTTAGAATCGCGGAGTGGTTTGAGTCGGAAGGCACCTTAAAGCTCATCTCGTTCCACCTTCCACTAGCCGAGGTTGCTCCAAGCCCCTTCCAACGTGGCCTTAAACACTTCAGGGGTGGGGCAGCCTCTTTTTTTCCTCACCTCCTTGCTGACTTGGCCTCCCTCTTCATAAACCTAACACGAATCTAGTACAGATCATTAAGCATATAATGTAGGAAAAAAAACATAGCGTACCCAAATAATTGTAGTATTTATGTAGGAATGCCGTTACTTTTCTTTGTTCCCGGCTAACAGTGAACTGCTGATCAGTGCTGATTGCAGCAGCAGGTGTCCTGGCAGGGCTGTGAAGCTCTGCTGGTTTTGGCTGGGGTGGGGTTAATTTTCTTCACAGTGGCTGGTGTGGGGCTGTGTTTTGGATTTGTGCTCAACACAAGGTTGATAATAGAGATGTTTTTGTTACTTCTGAGCAGGGCTTACACAGGGCCAAGGCCTTTTCAGCTCCTCATATTGCCATGCTGGCAAGGAAGTTGGAGGTGCGTAGGAAGCTGGGAGGAGGCACAGTTGGGACAGATGACCCCAATTGAGCTAAGGGGATATTTCATACCATACAACATCATGCTCAGTATATGAAGTTAGGAGCTGGGGGGAGAAGAAGGAAAGGAGTGACGTTTGGAATGATGGCCTTTGTCTTCCCAGGTCACAGCATGATGGGGCCCTGCTCTCCTGGAAATGGCTAAACACCTGCCTGCCCATGGAAAACAGTGATTTAATTCCTTATTTTGCTTTGCTTGTGTGCATGGCTTTTGCTTTCCCTGTTAAACTGCCTTATCTCAACCCATGAGTTTTCCAGTTTTTACCCATCCAATTCTCTCCCCAGTCCTGCCAGGGAGTGAGCAAGCATGGGCTTGGCTGCTGGCTGGGTTAAACCATGAAAGAAGCAGAAATGCTGTATTGCTGTTAGTGTCGAAGTAGGGCTGGGGCTGGGAACAAGCACAGCAAATAGTGAATCAAAAAGATGGGGAGAGGGTTGAGGACTAAATCCGTTTGAGATGAGCTTTCACACTGCAACTTGTTGGAACAGTAAGTAAGTATCAACTGCTACCTCTGGATCAGGAAGTTACCCTTGAAAATAAAGTGAATAACAGCCTATGTTGCCTGTTGCTGATGCCTCATTTAGAAGGCATGTGAAACTACATAGTCACAGTCAGTGCTCAGGTCACAGAGAGAAAACCAGCTCCAGGAATAAGGCCAAGGTGGGACCGCCTGTGGTTTTGCTCTTTTTTTGTTGCTGAAGGTTATATAGCGATCTTTTTCATTGTGCATATTTCCCCATATCCGCCCACTTGCTATGATACTTGAACAAATGAAATGATTTTTGAAAAACGATAGAAAAAGGAGAGGCAGAAGGAGAAGTTTGCCACGTAGGTCAGGTCTAGCTTTAGAAAAGTAAATTGATAATTCTGGGCTGTATTATGCTCTGGGTGTGGACACATCCATTCTCAGGTTGTCAACAGATTGTCAAGGATGATAAAACTGAGATCCAAACTCAGGGTAGTTTCAGAACTGACTGATAAGGTAGAAAATTATTCAAACATTGAGTCAGCAATGTATTGCCATCTTCAAGCAGTAGATAATGAGTCAGGCAAACTGTACAATAATTTGCTTATATTTATTTGTCTTTTGTTTTTCAGGCAGTTCAAATTAAAACATACATTTCTGCATTAATCCACTCAGAAATCTGAACTACTGGTCTGAGAAGCTTTACTTTAGGAAAGTAAAGCAGAAAGAAGCTGCAAATACAGTCTTGGCAAGCATGTTCTATTCTCCACTTAAATACATTCAAAAAGGGTTTTGGTTCAGGCCTGAGTGAAAACAAGCAAAGAAAGATTGGTAGATTTATCCTGTTTGTTGGTATGTTTTGCAAATGTAAATGCACCAGTACTCGACTTCCTTAACTACAGAACCAGTTTATGTGAAACAACACAACTGAGTGAGGCAAAAGGCATCACTGAATGAAGGAGTCCCAAATCGGTGTTATTTTTATAGGACAGTGAGTAATTCCAGCCTTTGAATATCAAGGCTTTATTTAAAGTTAGACACTGCTGGAAGAGTAGCTGGATTGCTGCAACCTTTTGCTACTGTTTAAAATGCAGTCCCTGTACATCTTCCTCTTTGATGTCCTCTACTTGCAGCTGTAATATCTCCTTGTTTGCCCTGCCTCTGGTATTCAGCTGACTCCACAGTAAGTGAAATCAGCTTTCAGAGACTTGAAACTGAAATTTTGATTCATATGAGCAAAGTATGAATGGGTGTGTGTGCGAGCACCAGAAGAAACAGCAGAACAAAGGTTAAACACATGGCCTGTGCTGATAATCAAAAACACAGCAGTAAAGGCAGTAAAATCAAGAAATGGTTTCTCTCAAACCAGGAAAATCTGCACACTGAAGCACAGAAAACTTGTTGGAGGAAGATCCTACCATCTGACAGCTGGACACGGCAGGAAGATACAGCACACCCCAAATGCCATTTATTTCCTATTGGTCCAACTGGAAGCAAACCATAAAGAGAGGAAGCACAGAAAACGGGCAAAGAAGTTCCATGAGGTACATGGAGGCAGAAGTATCCGGACTGTGAAGCACAAGGATGCCACCACAGTCAGTGCTGGCTCCCACTATCTTTTGTACCTGTTAGTGGGCAGAAAAGACCCCTCCAAGGCAGCTTGCCACTGGCAGTGAAAACTAACACAAGAGATACCAAAAGGGTGGATAGTTGGTGCTCATCTTCCCTTATGCTTCTTGCAATGTGGGTCCTGGAAAAACCCATGGAGCACACACACGCCTCAGGAGCTGTTAGTATAGGGTTTTGACAGCATGAACCAAGCTGAATATTGAGTTGTTTGACCACTTTCCAGGATGAAGAGCCTTGCTACACTGGCTCACCCTGATCTCTTAGGGTGATCTCAGACCCTCTCTGTGGGCTCTGGGGCTCTGCGGGGCTGGGATTAGGAGGGTAGAGTGGGAGCTGGAAAGTCCTGTGGCAGCGGAACTGCTGCTCAGAGAGCAGAGCTGGCAGTGAAATAAAGCTTATGGGTCTGGGGCTGAAATCACTGAGGGGCTGGGACAGAGACTGGGGCTGGGATAGGGATGGTTGTCTTGGGATAGGGACTGTAGGGCTGGAGCTGAAATTACTGTAGGGCCTGAGCAAGCAGAATTGCTGATTTTTA